CATTTTTTTCCCTCCTCGTGGACGCTCGACTTCGCTTCCTTCTCCAGCTTCCCTCTCCGATCGGATTGGGAGTTTCGACATTTCAGTCGGACTCAAAGACGGGAGCTCGCTGTAAAGAGAAACTGAGAGAGAGGGAGATAGAGAAAGAGAGTCCTCCCCTTACCCGTAGCAGCCAAATGTCGACTCTCCTCCGATTCGACCTCGATCTCCTGCAGCCAACCGCAAATCCAAGCCCCTCTCTGTTCTGACCTTCCGATCCCGCCGCTGCCTCGACTCCTTCGTGGCTGGTCTGACATCGCTACTTCTCCGACTTTCCTCCCTGCATATCGGAAGTTAACATTTTAATGGGAAGCATCAACAGGAGCTCGCTGGAAGTGAAGGTATCCTTCTCCCATTCACGCTTCTTTGGCCAAACCCGGTAAACAGAGAAGAAGAGGGGAGGTCAATCCATCTTAATAAATGTTAATTATATTCAAATTATTATTTAATTATAATTATAATTAGTTATTATATATATAGATTAATTAATTTATAATTAATAGTTAATTTTTTAATTATAATTGTTCAATTAATTATAATTTATTTTGATTAATTATAATTAATTACTAATTAAATTATAATTATAATTAATATATTAATTATAAACTAATTAATAATTAGTAATTAATTATTAATATTAATTATATAATTAACATTATAATTAAATATAATTATAAAAAAATATGCATGCTTCTCCTGCTCGGTCCACGACCCAACCACCGTCAAAGCCCGCGAAGGTATAATCCCTAAACTCAGGCTTCCATCCTTGGCTTGTACGACGGGCGGTAGATCACCTAAGCAAGCCTTTATTGAGCGTTGGTAGGAGGGAATCCGGTCTGACGCCTACGACGAGGCGGACAGTCGCCTTTCCTCGCCTTCCTATTCGACGTGGTGTTGAGCCGGCGGACCACCTAAGCACGCCTTTAGTGAGCGTGGTAGGAGGAACCCGGTGCGACTCCTACGACAAGGTAAGTAAGCGACCCCTCCTGTCTCGACATGCGTTGTCGAGCCGGCAAACCACCTAAGCACGCCTTTGGTGAGCGTGGTAGGAGGGAACCGGTTTGACGCACACGATGAGGCAGGTGAGCCTGGTGTACTCTCTTCTTTGTGTGGCCGGAACAATTCATAAGTATCCCGGATGGGAGAAAAAGCAAACTGCTCTTTTCTTGTAACAGGTACCGTCAAAAGACCCCATGCACGCCTTTATTTGCGCGTGGTGGGAAGAAAAAATCACGCTCGAGCTGTCCTCGAAAAGAGGAGCACTACCATGCACGCCTTTAGTGCGCGTTGTGGGAAGGCCCAGTTTTCTCGTAGTTTCCCGTAAACTGGGGAGACGCCGGGAGGTTGCCGAAATTTCTGGGTAAATATTACTACACTCGGACCTGTTTTGAACTCAAAAGAACAAAAAGATTTGGACCAAATGAGAAAGAGCAGTGAATTTTTGAACATGAATATGAACTGTGACTTGTAAAACCGCGAACTTGATTGAACCACAAGCAGAGGACCCTGAACAAAACCCAAATGATTTCTAAAGGCCAAACTCAAACAAAAATAAAATCAAAATTGGAACCAAATCCAAATCAATTTGAACTTATAATTGAACTTGCGAGGACTTGCAAATTTGAACCAAACAGAATGCAAGTGGAGCTTGAACTACACAAGAGACCTAAACAAGCACTTGAACTATGTACTTGAAACTCAAACTGTGCAGCATCAAGGAACGCAAAACTGAACTCAAGTGGATCCGAAATAGGTACTTGAGTTTGAATGGATGCCAAGAGTTGAACCCATAAGACATACAAGACTCAAGCATGGGCTTGACCTTGAACTCGGTCTGATGAAATACATAGACCAGGACTTTGATGAATGAACAAATCAGAGCCTAAATGCCACAGTTCTCTAAGTTAACAACAAGCTACAAGTGGGAGATGAAATCCCGATGCCATGAAAGATGTACGAATTCCTACAACGGTCTCAAATATGCCTGTTGATTGATGATGACAATACGGGAGGACCAATAAAGAAGGATCGTCCCCACAACAAGTGCAAATACGTCAATACCACCCGAGATGGTGAAAGGGTGATTCGATGCAGAAACAAATGGGCTTCTACAAAATACTTCCAGGAGGTCGTCTAGAAGACATGTATCCCTGCAAATAAAGAGGTCAATGAATGAATGAAGGTCATTCATTAAAATCCCAAATAGAAGTGAAATGTCGGTTCACTCACAAGCAACAATACGAACTCCTACAAGTCACTATAGAAGATCTGCAATCCATACAAATCCTTCTACAATACAAATATTATATACAATAATCCGTCCATGGGTTAGATGCATAAAGACTATAGTAAAATGCAATATCCTGTAGTCAATTTTAGTCCGTGAAAGAAAGACATCTACATACCTACATGCAGCAATAGCGGATGCATGAAAGACCAAAAGACCCCAACAAAATGCATGGAGTACTATGACAAGTGCAAGCTCCTACAACCAGGCAGGAGATTAGTTAGTGCACTACAATCCACCTGCAGAAAGCAACGAGTAGTGCACGACAGTCTACCTGTACGAAGCAGCGAACAATTCCATCCAGAAGCTGCTACGCCACGCCACCGGATCTGCAACATTCGTACAAGCAGACAGAAGGCGTCTATTCCAAGAATATCCCCGCACTGTGCACAATAGTTTGTTATACACATAGGCACACTAAAAGGGGTAAATGTAATCAATATACCCGCATGGGCCCCTGCGAGCGTGTTATTGGTACATACATGACGTCTAGGGATGCTGCGCGGGTTATTAAATTTAAACCCGATCCTTCTAAGTAGATGAAAGGTGTCGACAGGGTTTAATCATAAAATGCCCCCAAACCCGCATGGGCCCTGGCGAGCGTGTTATTGGTACACACCGTGACGTCTAGGGATGTTGCGCGGGTTTGACGAGTGAATTCAGGTTCGAAAACCGATCTTCTATACGGGTCAATAGAAGTCGACATGGTTCGAAACCAACAAACAAATATACGGTTGTGGCGACCGTCATATTTGTTTTAATACATTCATATTAGGCTTCAAGGCTATAACAATAAGAATTCACTATCAAGGGCATAAAGCATACGAACCCGATCCTCTGTCGACAGCCAGACAGAGTCGACAAAGGTTCAAGATTTAAATGAAAATGACCCCAAACACCCCGATGATGGCCGTGTTGAGTGATTATCTCAACCGGAGGGGTTTCACAAATATTTCTCAAAATTCCACCATAATGTCCATACACAAGTACTCAAAATTCCATCTAAAATCCAAAAATCCAAAACTCCACAAAAATTTCAAAATCCCAAAAATATTTAAAAATGAAATCAAACCATGAATCGCTTAAAGCAAAGCCCATCCACCTCCGCAACAGTCTGCCGGGGTGGACAAATTCAAATAAACTCTAGCTCACAAAGAGCCAAATGCCTAGTCGAAAAATATCACTAGGATTCATTCTCAAACAATCTCTTGCCAGTTAAGGACGTGGACGTGTCCTCTAACCGGCAGTTTCGCCGTCAAATGGCACTGCAGGTAAACGGTTATAGCCCGGGGCCCTCTGAACCGAGTGGTTTTGCCGCCAAATGGCCCCACAGATAGCGGTTATGGCCAGAGTCAATACGCTCCTTAATGACGTTAAATCCTTAGATATGAATCAATAGGATATGATCGATAGGACAAACCCTCTGTTAGCTAAGGTGGATTAAATTTGTCCCCTTAGACAAACATTCAACCCCGGTCTACAAGGTTCCCTGGACGAAGCAAACCCATGGCTGCCGACAAGGATCCTTCTGTCAGGTTGGGTCGACTACCTCCTCTGACTAAGTAGACCAGGGACCACGATGGCCCGGGACGACTGAACCATGGGATCTTGATCGAGTTTATCATCCATTCCCCCACCATCCGCTTTAAGTGCAAGATTGTGAAGTTTCTATTTTAAATATCAAAATTTTCAAATATCAATCATTCAAATTCCAATTTTCAAATCCCAAACCCATGCTGCTACTATATGCCAGATAACACGTATATTCTACGTATCTGATCGACGACTAGCCTTAATCGAAATTTCTCTCTCATTATTGGGAGGGGTAATTAACTATAGGGGCTTGCGCCTATAGGAAACCAGAACTCAGATCATAAAGTCCTCACAAAATGAGGGCGAAATCTCTGGGTAGTGTCTTATCTACAAACCCATCTGCCTTCCAAAATTTACCCCAGAACTTGTTCGTTAAAACTCCCCCTTGCCAAATAAGAAAAGAAAACGCGCGGCGGGGAGGCCGGGGCCGAATTTTTGGAGCCCACAGCTATTAGGGCAATTTTGTCTTTTATTGAATGTCTTTTGGGTAGCATTTGCACGCCATCACGTTTGTCGCTCGCAGTTTTGCTCTTATTTGATGGAGACGACTCCGGACGGTTATCGAGGTCAACAATGTTACAAGAAAGTATTGTGTTCGATCTCATGTTGGATATGTGGTAATATGTTAGTGACAGGATTGTATTGTTCAGCCCAAACTATTAGCTTATACTTCTAGGTTAAATTTATTTTAAGCTACTTTTTTTTTTCCGTGGTGTCATTTTGACACCTATTATTTTAAGCCACTTCTTTCCTGAGGTCCACTGGATTTATCAGTGATCCATGCTCCCATATACTTTTACTTAATGCCACATTCACCAAGAAATTGTACCTTGGATTCCTTAGTTTTTGCACTTGATGTGTTGAGTAGCCATTGAATGAAACAGGCATACTCTTTACTTATTTAGCATGACTCACTTTTGGCATAACGTTTTTGCTCTTCTATTTTTATGATTATATATTTATTTATTTTTTTGGGTGTTTTTAATGGATAACAACTATTTTTGTTTTTTATGTTTTTATGTAATTTGGTTTAAAATAAGCTCTTTTTTTGTTTTAACTTACTGCTAATTGTAAATTACAGTGCAGACTGTTTTACTTGCATTCCAGCACTACATTGTGGTGCTTGGTACTATTGTTATGATATCGAGTATTGTGGTCCCTCAAATGGGTGGAAGCCATGTAAAATTTATGAACCTTTCTATGTTTTTTGGTTATGATGCTAGAATGTGCTTTTCTTAAAGCTGTAGATATTGTAACAGGGTGACAAGGCAAGAGTAATTCAGACTTCTCTTTTTATGAGTGGAATAAATACCCTGCTTCAAACATTCATAGGAACAAGGCTTCCGACAGTGATGAGTGCATCATTTGCGTATTTAATACCAGTCACATCTATCATCAAAGATTTCTCATTTAGAACCTTTGAAGATGAGCGCCAGGTATGTGGAAGGCTGGGATATTATGTAGAATTAGAGTGAAACAATTCGTGTATACTTGTAATTATTATTTGTTTAAACAATTTCGGTTTCTTTTTTGTCAATATTGCTAATTGAGAAGTTTTTGTTATGTCGGTTTCGGTTTTTCAGAATAGATCATAGTTTAGTTTCCTGCATTTTGTCTTCTACCATGTTCTTTGTCACATGAAAGCGCAATTTAAATATTGTCCTAATGGAGCCTAACGGAGATTGCAGAGATTTGTTCATACCATGAGAGCCATCCAAGGTGCCTTGATTGTCTCTTCGTTTGTTAACATCATCATTGGGTACAGCAAAGCATGGGGAAACTTTTCAAAGTAATATACTTTCTATTCAATGGCCAATCTAATATGTAGATCGTGTCTTTTCTAACTTTTTCCTCCCTTGCGATTACTTCAGATTTTTCAGTCCTATAGTAATTGTTCCTACCGTCTGCTTGGTGGGTCTTGGGCTCTTCGAACAGGGTTTTCCTCAGGTATTTTTTTATTGATAAGATAAAATAGATTTCAAAGTGAAAGATCAAGATGTAACCTGTTGTCTTATTTTCAGGTTGCAAAGTGTGTGGAGATTGGATTGCCAATGCTAATTTTATTGGTGTTTTCTCAACAAGTAATGCTTTTATGTACAGGAATTAATGCTCTATTGCTGTAAAACTTGATATATTGTTTAGAAACTGTTAAATTGCATACTTAGTACATTTCTTCAACAGTACATGAAGCATATCAATGAGAGGTCATACTTTTTGTTTGAGAGGTTTGCTTTGCTTGCCTGCATTGCAATCATCTGGGCTTTTGCGGCTATTTTAACTGTTGGTGGTGCATATAACAATGTTTCTGAGAAAACTAAGCAACATTGTCGCACTGATAGATCATATCTTCTATCATCCGCACCGTGGTAGGCTTTGTCGTTCGATGTTATTTAATTTTTCTCTCATGTGTACAACTTTTCGTGCTCGCATCTCTGATTCTTCCGTATTGGCATTATTTCATTCCAGGATTAAAATCCCATACCCATTTCAATGGGGTGCTCCCATCTTTGTTGCTAGCCATGTATTTGGAATGATGGGTGCTGCACTTGTTGCACTTTTTGAGGTTAGTATTAACTACTGAGTTATTTGTTTTTCTTTATCTCAGATGCCTTTTTTTGTGGATTTGATTTCTTTTTTGTTATTTTTCAGTCGACGGGAGCGCATTATGGAGCTTCACGTCTAGCAGGTGCTACTCCACCTCCGGCGCATGTCTTAAGTCGAAGTATTGGCCTTCAGGTTTGTTAACTGGAAATAATCTAACGATTTTTTTTTTTTTCAGAACTAAATGTATTTTTTTTCACACTACTGATTCTGAACCATAGATTGTGGATGGCCAAGCTTTAATTTGATGCCAAACTTGAGGAGTTGCTCGTTGAAATTTGGAACATAAATATAGTACGAATTCCTTTGTTGGCCTTGCTGAGTTTATATTTATTTTCATAAAATGCCATAGGCTGTGCTATGCTAGTTCAGATGGGTTAGAGTGACGATCCTTGCTCTGACGATGACTGTCATTATACCCAGCAGGAAAAATAGGTGGGTGGGAATAAATCTTCAGAGAAATTTATATAGAGAGAGGTTAAGATATGAGGGCAATAAGTTATGCTTATTTGCCATTGGTTTTCTAAGAAAACCAGCGTCACAATTGTCTAGATATTCACAGGGATATTCATTTAGAGGAATTTTTTCTCTTATCATATTTCTATCTTACGTCCTCTTGATATATGTATACCTGACATATTTATTTAAGACAATTAATTATACTATCTAATCATATATCTAAATTTTTAACAAATAACTTTCATTAATTATTTCTGATACATCATCAAAAAATTACATTGATCGAGCACGAATCTCGAGGCAAAATCAAGTTGGAAACTTAAAAAATTAGATCGGAGATCATATGAATTCCGATTTCAACAAACTTATAGTCAAACTGAGCGTCTCGGAAACACAAACCCAACGACACCAAAATCGACTCAATCTGAGCCCAAATGAGTCCAAATCAAAGACTCGAAGCATTTTTGGAAGGATCGAACCACAATTTGGGTTGCCAAACAATCTCCAATCATCACATGCTTATTATAGAATCGAGCGGCTCGACGAGACGAATCCAACGAACCCAAGATCATCAAATTATGATATCATTAAGACAGTCAAATATTCATTGAACGGTGCATGATCGCAGGAATCAAGGTCGGCCGTCCATTCGAACCACTCCAAATTTACCATTGATCTTCCACTTATTTTCAAGCCATGCTACTCAAGAATTCTATAAATAGAACCCCATTTCATCATGAAAAGGGGGGAAGAAGCTAAGAGAGAAAAAGGAAGAGAAGGAAGAAAGCTCCAGCCACCTAGCTCCTCCTCGACCACCGCCGGAGTGCTGCCGCACCACCGCCGTAGGTCTGCCGCACCACCGCCTGACCACCAAGGGACGCCGGAGTGCTGCTGCACCAGCGCCAGAGTACTGTCGCACCATCGCCGTAGTTCTACCGCACCATCGCCGGACCACCAAGGGACGTCGGAGTGCTACCGCACCACCGCCGGACCACCAAGGGACGTTGGAGTGCTGCCGCACCACCGACGGACCACCAAGGGACGCCAAAGTTCCATCCGAAGCTGAAGTACCCCCTGACACTGAAGTGCCACTGCCGATCCACCGCCTGACACCGGAGTGCCGCCGAACCACCATCTGACAGTGGAGTGACGTTGGACTTTTGCAAAACTCTCAGTTGATATTTGTAATCTGGTCGTTTTCAAGGACAAGTCAGACCATTGTATTTTCCTCAAATTTTAGTGGAATCATTTTCAACTGGGCTAGGCCCCATAATTTTTTCCCTTTCCGGGTTTTCCACGTAAAAAATATTGTGTTCTCTGTGTGTGAGCTGGATATCCGTGCAACGCTAAGACGTAGAATTATAACTCTATCGCCGCGTATATTCTAGCCCGCAACAATTTCTATGGCTCTTTCACTATAATTCATATTCCTAAGATAATCTTTGGGCTCTGATACCACCTTTGTCACGACTTGGTCCGGAGGATCAAATTTATGAGGCGAGAAGAGACAGTCGGACGGTTGATTGAATTTTTGTCTACTAATTATCTCCAATGCACTGAAAGATCCACTAAAACCTCAAAATTATTAAATAAAAATGCTATAATTACTTTTGTGTTGGTGTATCGCGTCTACGAGACACATTTTATCCTATTCCACTCATTTAAGCTATTATAAAATATAGGTGAATATATTTTTTTCCAAATATTAAGTGAGTCACAATTCAGAGAGTAAATCACGCTTCTAAATTACAGTAATATAAGTCATTGAGAATAATATGTATGCACATTTCAAAATATAAAGTAATAAAATTCATTTTGAATATGACCATCAAGGTGAAGCATATTTGTATGTATGACATGCCATATTTTTATCCTTTTTATAAATAATATAACTGTCACAGGAGACTGTATAAAATGATACCAATAAAGGTACTCCTTTTTCATTTTTTTTTATCATTTTTCATTTACGTGCGCGGATATAATGCATCCCCAGAATAATAATATAACCGTCACAGGTTTTTATAACCTTTTTCATTTACTTATTCTTGCTGATCTTTCTCTCTCTCCCTCTCTCGGTTGTTCGCATGTCCTCATCTCCTTTCACACTATTAACTTAACGAAAAAAAAGAGCGGTTTTAGATCTGATAAATGCATGCATCGTTTTGGAAACGATACACTCGTTCAACAAATATATCGATAAAAGGTAGGGAAACTAAACAAAAAAGAAACTTACGTCGACCTTGCTTTCGCCCTCTCTCGTTTGTGCTATTGCATTTGCTCACCCGAACACCACACCAGCCCACATACCTCCTCAATCCCGATCAGCCCCTAATGCGCGCAAATCCAATTGACTAGAAGTCGTGCACCGTCCCATTTCCTCTTGTGACCAGAAGCCATGTGCCATCCAGCCTTTGGCTCGATGTCGTCCCGCCTATGGCTTCTTTGATCCAACTGCACAGCACGTCTGATCCGCCTTCTCGCTACCCGTCCAAATACCCGACCAAACCTGCTCCTACTTCTGTCTTCAACCTGCACAACAACCACACACCTGTCCACGTGTAAAGCCCGTACATGCACAACAATCGGCTTCACTCCTATATACGCGAGCCCGTCCAGTTTTGCAGCCCACCATTCGCCATCATTGTTGAACCCACTGATCGTCTCCAAGCCAAGTCACCGAAGGCACGCCTTTTTTCGTATATATATACAACTTATGTAATAACTCGCAAGTTCTTAACAAATCATTTACTGCTTCGGTTCTTGTTGCTTGCACGATCTTATTGACTACAATAAGTCTAGGAGTATAAGGACATGTTTGCCAACTGATTGCTGCTCCACCTATTGTTTATTTTTTTGGCTTTTATAATGAAATGTAATTAAACATGAAATACAAAATTGTTTAGCAAGTATGTGTCGATTTCAAAGACCTGCGCTGTGATCTTTGATCCGAAGACCCGGGTCATGATCTTTTATCCGAGCGGATGAATTTTAAAATCAAAGACCCTACGCCGTGATCTTTTATCCAGGCAAGATTGTCATGACCCGGTCCGGATGCTCGACTTAACGAGCCGGGAACTAAAAGTTGGATGATAGAATAATTCAATACAATTCATAAACAATACAATATATAACTTTCTCATTTCAACTGAATAACCACTATAATAAATAAATAAAAAATATATTCATTTCACTTTTTTAAAAGAAAACTAAAATTTACATCAATCGATTACTTGTTTTCATTATTGCGTCGTCTTCTATAAATAAACTCTTCCCTTCCGGCCATTTCTAATTTTTGAGATTTACCTGAATATATTTGTTTAATGAAATGAGTTTACAAAGTAAACTCAGTGGGTAATTGTTATAACAATTAACATGTATAAAATACAATACATATAACATTTTATATATGTCTATTCATTTAACATTTAAAATACATTTCTTTTATTTGGTTCATTTCATTCCATTCATTTCTTTATACATATTATATCATATTCATTTATAGCATTTACTTTAATATGTATTCCTTTTCCCATTTATTTTATACAGGAGCACCGTTTAAATGTATCAAAGGTACATCCATTTCTATTTTCTTTTTCATAATCTTTTCTTTTTTACATGAACGGGTACGTTGCTTCCCCAGCCAGTACCTTACTGCGGGGGGCGGGGGTGTGAACTCCTGTAATATGCATGCATATCTGTTTCCCCTTTATCTTTCATTCATTTATACTTTTATTTATAATATAGATTATATCATTCTTTTTCTCATTTTTTTCTTATATTCTTAGGTATATAACTATAATGGATATATTTTAACTTCACTTTTATTTCTTTTACATATACATTTATATTCATAATATTAGGTATTTGAATTCATTTAATGTGAACATTCATTATCACATATGCATTTGAATCATCTCACATAATAACATGAAAGATAAGTAAAATAAAATTCAATAATAAAATGCCTATACACAATGGTAATTTACCAACTTAATTCTACTCTCACACTATTCATCTTGTATTGAAAATTGTTCATCATAACATAATAATTTAATTAATATTAAATATCAATTAAATATCTCAATAAGCATTTGATTTATTCCACAAAATTTACCTCACAATATTTTGCTTTCTTTCCTCGTAAATCTTCTTTCCTCCACCGTTAAACCAAAGTCTATATCACTTAGATTCTTCCAACCTAAATTAAAATATGCCTCTCATTGTTTATTCACTATAAGAAACGAGAAAATGAAACATAACCTTAAACTAATCACTTACGTTTAGAAGGAAGTCCAAAGTCTAATTCCATCTTTTACCTTTTCTCCCAATTCTTTCTCATCGCTTTCAATCCCTTCCTTTTCCCTTTATGCAAATATCATTTGCTTTACATGAAGTAAAACAAAGAAATTTATACAAAAATGGAAAGAAAATTCAACAAACCTTATTTCCTCTTTTCCTCGATCATTCCTCTGATTTCTTCCTAATCTCCAGTTCTTTAGCAGTAAGAATGACAAAAGAGTTAAAAGGAGTTATTATATCTCATCCTCAAAAGCAATCATTCATTAAAAATGGCGAAACGAATCTTCCAATATTTCCACGCACGTGTTCAGTTTTTCCAGCCCTGTTTCGCCTGTTCGCCCTCTTTTTGTTCACGAATGCCTGTTTGAGATAATTGA